AGAAACGGTTAATATAGTGGATTAAGGGAATTATGGATGATTTTTTTGAGAAGATAACCCTTGTCCTGAGCCTTAATGAATGAGTTGGAGTTAACCAGGTAGAGATTGTTTGCAGATGTGGTGAGGTGGTGCCAAGGGTTTCAGTCAAGTCCATTTGGGAAGCCATTATAGTAGGTTTCACTCATCTCAATTCTTTGGAGTATGATAAAAAAATCAGGAAGTAAACAAAGTCTCTAAATAACCGAAATAGATGCTATCAGGTCTGTGTACGAAAGATGACATAATCACTGTCACGTAAAAGTGGCTAGTGATTTCTAGCTTAACAAGTAGAACTTTTATAATACTGTTGATAAATCTGAATTGTAAATTAAAGCCCTGAGATTAATGCAATGGCTAATGTGGAAAGTATGTTAAATGTTGGAACATTTGTGCTTTCTAGTGAAACAGAGAATTACAGAAACATGTTGCATTGTATTGGTGAAAGGTGTTGGATGGACTATTTCTTTTAAATTGATAATGGGGACAGTCCAGGGACTCAATAATCTGAACAAACATCTTGTTCTTACCCAAGATAGGTGTCCTTTAACCTATAATGGGAATACTCTGCTGTGCACAGGTCAGTCCATAAAACGCTTGGTGGGTTAAGATACTGTGCAAGATGCTAGCTTTCTGGGATAGCTATCATGCTAGATTGCAAAAATGAAAGCAAATACTTTTTCCCCCATACCAGGTTCTTTAATGTACCAGGTTTTTGTAGCTCTACTGATTAAGAGATGGAGTCTTTCTTCATCCCTTGAATCTGGGCTGGTCTGATGAACTGCTTAGCCAAGGAGACTGTAGCAAACATGATGTGAGCAGAGACTTGGAAAGTGCTTGGGTATTGAGGCTTCCCCTATTGCTACTCTTGGAAGCCTGTGATTGCCACCATGTAAACAGCTAGTGTACCCTGTTAGATGATAAGGGACTAGCAGCTTAGTTACTCTCAAATACTCCAGCTTACAGTCAACTTATAGTGAGGCACTATAGTGCCAGTTGACCACAGGTACACAAGTAAGCTCAGCTGAGTCCAGAGGAACTGCCCAGCTGACTAGCTGAGCTCAACTCATAATTGCCAATCCCACAGAAATGTGAACTAAATCAATGCTTGTTCTTTAAACCACTAAGTTTTGGAGTGGTTTGTTCCATTTGCCTCACTACTCCATATAGGGCAGTTTTCCTACCTCAGTTACTTTCTCGTATGGCTCTGTGGAGTAATTCTCTTGGTTTATCATCATGGTTTCAGTCTGCTCACTTGACCAATTTGGTTTCCTGATTACTGACCATAATGTATTTATAGAGTATTTATTGTGTATTAGGTACTATGCTAGGTGATGGGGATTCTAAAAATTAATAACGTACACATGCCACCTTAGGTTATGTGAAATGGATTCTGTGCTTCCTTCTGTTTACCTAACTGCATGAAAACAAAAGTGAGTGAGGGAGACATTACTGAAAAAGATATCAGTAGAATGAGGTGGTTAGGAACAAATAAACAAAACAAGAGGAGACAAGGAAGAATGAACGGCACTCCTCTTCACTTACACACTAGGAATCAGAATTTTTTTGTTCATTTGTTTTAATATCCTAGACCCTGGCTGAGTGCTGAGGGGAGCTGGTGCTAATTTTTCTTCTCTCTTTCCCATGAATAACTTCTTTCTATTCTTATTAATGGACCCACATTCTTTAGCTAAGTTTTTTCTATATCCAGGTCCAAATGATTTTTATTTCCCTGTAATATAGAAGATAGCCTATTTTAGTGGTGGTTCTGGGGAGGGTAGAAAAAAAATATCAAAGCCAAAACCAAACCAAAAACTGGTTTTGGATTCCGGTAGAGCCATCTGGTTTGATTCTCAGCTCTGCCACTTAATCACGGTGAAATTGTCTCAATGTTTTTCATGTGTAAAATTTTTTTCATGTGTAAAATGGGGTTATACCAGGTATTTTATGGCATGTTGTAAGGACTTGAGATAAGAATTTGAGATAATATAGAAAGCCTCCAACAAGCTTATAGTGCCCCAAAGTGATGTTTCAGTGAGCTCTCAGAACATGAAGAGCTATGCTCCGGGTTACTGTCAGTGAAGTTCTGCATTCCAAGTAATTATTTTTTACTGTTTATATGGGAGGAGGCAGGAAGTTTAAATAAACAGAAGATAAGAAGTATCATCTCAAGATTTCTATTAAACTAAGGAGGTATTTGCCATTTTGTTTTGGAAGGAAAACAAAATATTTGATTTAAAAGTCTAGGAGGTGCTGGAAATAGGAATACCTTGATCTAAAAATCATTAGAAATTATCTGGATCTGTACAAAAAGTACAAAGGTTATTACAGAATTTAAGTATCATATGACTTTGGATAAGAAATTCTATTATATTTTGTAATTAATTTACACATTTATTCTCTTTACGAACTTTTTTCTTTACATTTTTGTAAAAACATGATGGGTTTAATTAGGGAAATAAGGATGAAATGTCATATAGTTTAACAATAAAAATTTAACAATATGATAAAATGATAGATTTTCCTATAGTCACAGAGAGCTACTTGAATTAGAAGCTAGAAGGATTATAAAGTATACTTTATATTTCTTATAAGAAAGGAAGGCCAATATTCTAAAGTAATTTTGTAAATGGCTATTCCTCCCAGCACAGAGCCCAGATTTCCAGTCATTCCTGCTTGGATTCCATCCTACTACTTAACATAGCAGACTGAGAATTACTGCAAGATTGGCAATGAAAGAGCGCCAGGTGTTTTAAAATGTAAACTTTGCTCCCTGGGGAAATAAGTTGCTAGGTAATGAAACGGAGCAGGACCCCATGGTCCTTCGCACCCCCCACCATGTCCTCTGCCTGCCTTTTGCCTGTGCAAAAACTTTAGCCAAAGAATAAGTTTAATCAGAGAAGTGAGAAAATGCAGAAACAAAGGAAAACAGTAAAAGGAGTCCAAATAATAATAGTTTTGTCATTAAGTATAGTCAAGGACCTTTGGTTCCTCCCCAAGGGCTATAGATAATATTCTGAGCCACATCCTGTGAGCTGCCTTGTAGATACTGAAACCGCCACCAGGTGGAAGAAGTTAACCACATGATGACCAGACTGTAGCCATGACATAAGCTGCCACAATTCCAAGAACTGGCCTCAAGAAAATGGGAACAAATTGACCCTGGAGCTGAAGATTAATTGTACTTAAAACAATCAAGATAACTTTGGTCAGACCACCACATGACCAATTTCAAGATGACTGTCAGAGCTGACTGTACTGTTTCTACACGTAGCCCCCTCCCTCTGTCCATAAGAGCTCTTGCCCACTGATTGTCAGTGGTTGGGTCAAGTTGGCCTTTAGACAGGAGTCCGCTCTCCCCCCCTTGTTGCTGGCATCTGAAATAAAGCAAACTTTCCTTTCCACCAACGTTGCCTCTTTTTTGGCTTTTGAGTGGTGAGCAGCCAGACCCCACTTTCATTAACAGTAAGAGGAATGAAATAAAAATCTTTGACCATATGACATGAATCTTTTGAAAGAGACCAAGTGAGGGTACCTCACTGCCATGTGCTCGACTGATTCAAATCTACTATAGTACAATTAGCCAAATAATAAAACTACATGACTTAGTTTTGGCTCCTTGTTTTAAATGACTTCAATCAGTCTAAGCTATTTCTTATAAATTCTTTTCTTTCTTTAAGCCTGTACTAAATTAGATTATCGAGTTAAAATATGACTACTTCAAAAATTCAGAGTGAATGGGAATGGGAAGGAGTTTAATAAAAACTTGAATACACTTTTTATAATTTTTAAACATACAGAATTTTTTGTTTTATTATTTTTATTATTTTTTTTAAGTTTAGTTTTAAAATTTTTGTACAATTTTTAAAGGTTACTCTTCATTTACAGTTATTACAAAATATTGGCTATATTCCCAGTGTTATACAATACATCCTTGAGCCTATCTTATACCCAGTAGTTTGTACCTCTCTTTCCCCCAGCCCTGTATTGCTCCTCCACTGCCACTGATAACCATTAGTTTGTCCTCTATATCTGTGAGTCTGCTTCTTTTATTGTTATATTCACTAGTTTGTTGTATCATATAGAAATATTTTGAATGAAAACTTTCAAATAGTTAGTTCACAAAATCTAAATATTAAAGTTACAGATGGAACCTAGCTTGGACTTGACTGAAGTAACAAAACATTATAACATCTGTGACACTATTGTTACCGAACGAAACTTGGGTCCACTTGCCCTGGTGCAGTAAAGCCAATCCACTGACACCAGGTTTTGGTGAAAGAAAGTGCAATGTTTATTGTAGGCACCAGACAAGGAATGCCAGCGGCTGATGGTCAAAAAACCCAAACTCCTTGTCTGGTTAGTTTAGTTGACAATGATTAGTTTAGTTAGATAAGAGGTATGAATATTGGCTCCAAAGCAAGATCTTTGAGATATCCCTAGATGTAAGGGGCTTGTAAGACTTCCTGGATCAGCATGCTATTTCTTTGCTTTAGATTTTCTTTTCTTTTTCTAAATTCATTATTACTACTTATTCATTTTTGCATAATCCTCTAATCACTAGATTAAGGTATTGTTCATCGCCAAACTTGATCAAAGTGAGTCTAAGAAGATTCTTCACTTGAGTTCGTATGCATACTGCTTAAACCAACACCCAAATTGACCAAACCTGTAAGGACATGACCTTCCAGCGTCTTGCTATTAAATTTCTGTAAATATTGAGAGGTTCCTTTAGCAAGGACTCTGCTTACATAAGCCTGCAGTGCAAATCCTCTCTCTAAATCCGTTAGAGGTTGGAATTTGTAAAACTACAAAATTCCCTGGAACCGATATTGTTTTCTTTTTCTTTGTGGAGAAATGGGAGTCGTAGTTAGTAAAGCTTTCTAACCCGGGCCTCCCTCTAGAGGGAGACATAGTCCAGCTTTTATACCAATTGCCGCCCTCTCATCTTTTACTGCCTCTTTCTTTTTCTGCGAGACCGCAGTTTCCTCTCAGAAACAGCTGCGGCTGCTAACAGAGGTGGCTGTTGGGAGAGAGACAGAGGGAGGCAACGCCGCCTGGTCCCGCCCTCGCATTTTCCTGCTTAACTCAACCTGGAGTGTTGGCACCTATTTCCTCCCTGCGTTCTCCTTGTACTATACAGGGAAGTCAGTCACTCCGGACTCTCTGGACGTCCAGGCTGGGTGGAATAAGGGGTCTGGGTAGAACAGGGGGCTCTGCCCTCTACGGTGACTTTCTAAAAGGTACCACTAGTGTTTTTTGACAGTGCAGCGCCCTAGGGTGGGCGGCGGAGAGGAGGCTTCGGTTACTAAACCGCTTAATTCTTTTTATTCTGGTGATTGGATTTGTTTCCCCGGCCTCCTCCCCTGCCCCATCTCCCTCCCCTCCTTTAGCGAGCTGACACAGGCAGCCCCTGCTCGCTTGTGTTCGATGTTGGAACACGCACCTTCTCGGCGGTGACTGTGCCCAGCGTACTGGGGACAGGGGGACAGCGGCGGTTTCCCTTCCTCCCAGCCGACGATGCCCAGAGGGGCAGCGGTTGGGCTGCGTGGGGCTCGGCCCTCAGCACTTCGAGGCGGGATTGAGGGTCTGCAGCTGGCTAGGAGTTGCTGTTAATTGGACTTGGCGCCAAGTCTCCGAGACGGCATCAGCTGGGACCTATCTGCTAAAAGCGGGAACAGGGCCGCCTGACGGAGGAACTCCAGCGTCTCGCGGGCGGAAGACTGCGGAGCTCAGAGCCTCTCCTCCTTCCTGCCCCGAACCTCCCCAGCAACTCTCGCACAACGGAGACCCGGGACCTACGAGAGCCAGGAAACTGGAGAAGTACGTGGCGGAGGCTGCTTTTCTGAAGGTGAACTGTTCCGTCCAATTGCCTTTCCCCAGAGAGCAAAAAGGGAGGGCGGGGGAAAAGGAACCGAGTATGCGTGAGTGTGTGTATGTGTGAGAGGCAGAGACGACGTGTGGCAGGAGGAAGTCTTTACTCGGCGTTCAAAGCAAACAGAGATGGAGTAAGAGCGGTAACTGCTGCAAGACCGCCTTGACTCTCGCATTGTGAGGAGCTGAGCGCACCGCGCGCATCCGGCGAGGACCGCTGGCGAACGTGGGCGCTGGCGAGGGCTGCGGGACTTCGGCGTTTCCCCTGTAAACAAATCTTTTGATTACTTTGACTTGTGAAAAACGAGAGGAGGAAAGAAACGAGGCTCCCGCACGCCACCTTCCACCCACTTTAAGGGGATTCCAGTTTGGATGTCTAGAGATTCCTGAACCCTCTTTGCTCTCGGAGGAGGAAACACACGCGCGCGCGCGCACACAAGCACGCTCGGGGCCACACTCACACGCCCTCCACGAGCACACACCACCAGACTTCGGTTCCCTATGCCCCAGAACGGTGACGGCGGATTGGCATCTTGGAAGCGATGCAAGAGCGATAAGGCTGGCGCGGGCCCGCGGAAGCTGCAGGAGCATCGCTAGGTGTTGCCGCCACCAGGAAGCCGGGCTGCAGGTAGGTGCCAGCCGCGCCTCCCGCTGGCGCTGGGGACTCGGGCGGCAGCTGGAGGACCCGGGGCCCGGAAGCCCTCCCTTCTCCGGGGGTCGGGGGCTGTAGGGAGCTCGCCCGGGGAAGGCGAGAGGTGATAGCAGATGCTGGTTGGGCGTCCAGGGTATGGGCGGGGGTAGAGGAACGCCGAGAGGGGATCTGAGCAAGTGAAAGGCGGTTCCGAGAGCCTTGCCCTCCTTCTCTTCTGTGCCCCATTTCTCTTAACACAACGAACGACCCGGCCGGGGTTGAAGTGGGTTTTAATTCGATCCCTCAACCAAACCAATCTCGGTTCCTAACCATTTTGGACTCCTAAAAAGAAGTTGGGGGTCGCGTTCAAGGGAGGATCAATGGGATGTCAGGTCGCTTTTCTGAAATCTCCACTTTCTGTCCACTTCTGATTAGTTAATTCTCGGGCCTGTCTGTAGAGGGTGGCTATTGATTTCTCCACCTCTAACCATTTTCATAAAGAATCTTCTTGATAAGTTCTGGAGCCTCATCTGTGTAAAGGTTTATTTAGATTTGGTACCGGACGCTTTACTACTGAGTGAGATAAAGCTTCAGTAAAGGATACTACAGGAGAGCTTTAGGACAAGGATCATTTAGGAACAGCGTTCAGAAAAAGAACAGCTTCGAGAAACTAACGGTTTTTCATTTATTTCCGCATAGATGGCTCTAGAATCTTGCTAATAGTACACGGTTTTTCTGCTCCACTGCTTTCCTGTCCCTTCCCCCTTCTATTCCAAAAGGCCAGGTTCCACCAAGAGGTGTTTTCTTTAAGCCACTGATCTTCACTTGTCAGTGGGGAACGTGTTATTTCCAGAAACTGCCTTTGTAAAGGAAAGTTTGAGATCCATTGCCCTATTTCTCCTAGAACTGCAGGCTGAGCTATCTAGTCCCCACTTGAAAAGGAGGAACTGTAGGTGGCTTGCAGAGCCCCGTGGTAGACGTGATGCTTTCTAGTCAGTCTTCCACCTCCTGAGCAAGTGTTAAACGATTGCCTGAAGTGTGTGGAATCACAGGTGTAGTCACTACAGTGGATAGCTAGCCTGTTTTCACCTGGTGCTGGGTGAGTTTGGCTTGTGGCAATAAGACAGAAAAGAAAATATCTTCTTTTTGTGAGTGTTAAATACCCTCTTGAATTTTGCAAGCATCATTCTTGAAAAAAACAAAACCAAACAAACCTGTAAGCAACCTTTGCTCTGAAAAGTACCCGCAAAGCAGTCAGTGTATAAGGGTCTTTTACTCATGACAGGAGGAATTTTAATGACCATTGACTGCATGATAATTATCTGGTTCCTGTCTTCCCCAGCTAGATTGTTTGAGACATCAACATTCAGACTATTATCAATTAACACTTTAAAACTGCTCTGTTAGGCAATGTAAGTTAAGACAAATGAGTAATTAATTTAAGATTTCTGGGTAAAGTCCTAAATGGCAATAACTAGCAAAGGATTCTGAAGACACTTCTAAAGCCCTTAAAAACCAGGGCATTAAGATTATTTGTATTTATTCCAGCCTTTCCAGTTTGCACATGTACTCTCAGACTGGTGAATCTTTTACAGTTTCAAATTTGGCACCTGAGATCCTTAAAAATGACCAGACACATTTAATCTTCCCTTTTCCTACTTTGTTCTGGATCTCTTCCCGGGTCAGTTAGTTGTTTGCATACTGACCTTTTTAGAGTCCTAATTTTTAAAACCATCTGTAACCATTGAAAGGCCATTACGAACCACACTGGAGCTTATTTTATTTTCATTTTCTTAATTTTCAATGAAGATAATTAGATTGCATTATTTATAGACATAATACTATGAAAGCAGTGTCACACTGCCAACTGCTTAGACACAGTACTTTTAAGAGGCAGAACACAGTTTTAGTGTGTTGCTTTATTCAAATCAGGCATTTTTTGAGACTGAAATCTTGATTCTTGCCTTTAATACAGTTTTGTAATTTAGGATGCTTGAATTTACATATTTATACATAGTGCTATGATATATGTCTCTTATGGAAGAACCAAAAAACCTCGACGTGAAAGCAAACACCTGTAATGCTACAAGTTGTGCTAAAAAGGAACCTAAGCTTTCTGTGTATGTGTGATTTTGAATCTGAAAAGTATTAGCTATTTTAAGTGACAAACTGGAGAGTGAAGATTCACTGAGATCCCATGGATCTATGTCAAAAAAGGTACATATTGCTTGGAGACTGCATTACAGTATTTACTAACCACCGAGTTATAAAAATGTGATGACAACAGCTGTAAAAAGATCTGTTTTTAGACATGGCCACTTTTCCTTTTTAAAAATTTATGAAGTGATGAAATTCAGGGGGTGATAGAAGATTTTATGGAAGTTATTTTTTATAATATCAGAAAGGTTTAGTCGTCCTGGATTCTGTATCTTTAGTATTTTAATGATGATCCTTTACAATGTGTTTTGGAATATGTAAATGTTGAAAGTGCATTTTAAGTTTGATTTATCACTAATTGCAGGTTATGGATTATCCTATACAGGTAGGGTAAGATGTACCTCTCCAGCATTTTCCAGACGTGTTTTTTTTTTTTTTTTTTTATCGTGGGCCCTAATCAAAGGTACTGTCAGATTCTGCCTAAGTTCAGCTGTGGCAGCAAACTAATGGGCATTTGCCTCTTTAATGCATGTCCCAAACTAGGAATGCTCCAAAGTGTCATCAGTTATTTCTAATATATTTGAGAAGATGAAACAACCAGAAACAATTCAGTGCCCCTGCTTTTACTTCTCCAGTATTTTATTAGGAATGCCTCATTAAATCGCATTATTCTGCAGTTGTTTTGTTCATTGAAGAGTCCAGTAAAAATAAGGAACTTTACTGCAGTTTTGTTTTCTAGGTGAAAAACCATAAGTTGAAGTAAAATAAGCATCTAACATAGCCCCCTTTGATCTATAACTGACATTTACAAATGCAGTTCATCAACTTGCTATTAGTAGGGCTCCACCAAAGCAAAGAGAAGAAACGCATTAACACAGATTGCTGCTAGATATGAAGGCCAAGCCAGCCGAATCAACCTCATGTCTGGTCCACATACCTGCACAGCATTTCACATCCTATATCTTGCTTATGAACCATTGAATTTAATGCCATGTAATATGGTGACTTTTCTATTTTGTTGGAAAATTCTTTGGTTTAGTTTGAATTACTTAGAGCACATGGAACTGTATCACTGGAAGAGGAGGAATAGTCTCACAATGAGTTACTGTAAGTCTTTTTAGAGAACAGTTTTACTTTGGGTTTGGAGTGCAGTCTGAAACAGGGGAGGTGGAAAGGTGGGCCTAGCAAACAGAGACCTAGAAATTAGTTTTGGTTTTTAGTTGTCATTGACCACTGATTTACTGGGTAATTTTTAGAAAATCTGATTCTATTCATTTGGCACAGTGATTCAGTGCCCTGTCAGTGAAATATAGCTAACAATTCTTATCTTCTGCTTATTCTTAACAGAAATTTTAAGAGGAATGGTTAGACTTCATTGGAATGTGAAGAAAAGTGGTATTTAAGTACTTTTCTCTGCAATATGAATCTAATCTCTACTTCTATACATATATATGCACATGCATACATACATATGCTTTTAATGGGATCCATGTAAAATACTGGTTTAGTATTGAAGGGGGAGGGAATGACTTTTTTAAAAATGTCTACATTTTTAAGGTACCTAGTTTTTCACTATTTTACATGATCTGACCTACAGTGCAACTGGGTAACCATGGTTTACAAAGTCATTTATAATTGAGTTTTACTCTTTGAGCCACTGTTGCAGGCAGTATTTTTTCTCTTCAGTTTTTCGGAGATATTTTTATTCATTAGGCTACAAATGCAAAAAAGAAATCAATTTTGTCCTCTGTGTAGGGGTGCTTTGGGATGTGTTTATTGACACTATGACTAGAAATCTCAACACATTTTAAACAGTGAATATATCTGTATTCTGTCTTTGTTAAATATGTGCCTCCACAGTCAAAACAGAAACTGTGTGTTACATTAGAGCATACTATTCTGGTTTCAAATGGTATCTACAAAATTTCCAGAAACATATTGATATTATACTCCAAATTTGTTAAATTTCCTAAATGCACCCACTTCCAATGTGTATACCACGTCTTTGTTGGATTTCATCCTGTGCTGTAACTAGGCCACCTAGTCACTGGAATCAGTGAAAATCTAGCATATTTAGGCAATTGGTTATTATTACCATTGAAAAATATAAGACTTTCAGGTAACTTGGGATTCAGATGAGACATGACTCTATAAGCTATAAGGAGAGTATTCCATTTTATTCACAATTATCCCTATAGGGTATGAAATATAGCTAGGGAATCATAGTTTATATGTTTATATTAGATAAAGTCCTTTTAATCACTTCCTTCAGTCTCCTAAATTACTCCATAGTACCTGTAATTATTTCATGATTTCTCCTGAATGGCCAGTTAGCAAAGGTACATCTCCCTTTCCCCTAGCAATGGCACAAACATACTTATCAATTAAATTTATATTTCTAATGCTCCTTCTACACAGTAGATTTTGGAAACTCTTTACAGAGAGATTGGATAATGTGATAATGTTGCCTTCTTAGCAATTCTGGTGGTAGGCTAAATTTAGTACTTTGACAAAATGGGGACAATCTGCCAAACAGGTCTTCTTTGCTCTTTTATCTTTGTGCTACGTAAAGCTAACTCTTCACCTAAAGCCCGGGGAGTGCAAAGGTTTGTTTTACTAAATATTTTTATGAGTTGTTTTTTTTTTTTTTTTTTTTGCTGCTATGAACTAGTCACTGTATAATTGCATGCATGTGCATGCAAAGATTCTAAACCTTACAGTTTGCAGTGTTAATTGCCTGTGGCCTCCTGTCGCTGCATATGGAGCTTTCTGTTGAGTTTAATAATACAGAAGAGATCATGGAGCTGGTAGATTATGCCCCTCTTTATAAGTGAATTCAT